AAAAATATTTCTTTGTAAGGAAGGACTGCATGATTCACAAGAAAGTAATCACATACTGTCCTAGCTTCCTTACTTATTTACTGGACCCATGAAGATCCGGGTAAGAATTGGTCTTCAGCAACCCACGCTTGTCGTAAGAGGCGGCTAACGGGATCAGGTGGTCGGACTCGCTGACTTGGCTGACACATGTCATCGGTTCCCAATTGCGTAGATCGATGCTCATGCCGTTGATCACTGGATTGTCTGGTCCAGACTCGATTATTTACAGACCGCCACCACATAGCTGGAATATTGCTGTGTGCGGTGTTATACCATAAACAATCCAATCTTGTTTACTGATTCTGTGATATTATATGAAAATCAAAATGGTTTCAAGCTGCTTTCAGTTACCACTGGTCACCTCTTTGCTGTCCCTTTTCCAACACTTTTGTGCTGCCTTTGATCATTTGCTGTCATGATGTGCAGCAAGTTGGGAATGTAATGTATCCTTATATCCCATCTTTATATATCCACAGTTTTATATTCCTCAAGCATTAGAAATCAAAATGCAACATGCACACTCCAAATATATAAGAGAGTGAGAGTGAGATAAAGAGTAGTAGTTTGCCAAATTATTCCAAACCTCCCAAGGTACTTATCAATTGCATTTTAAAAGCGTTCATCATTGATTACACCAATAATTGTGTCAAAATAAGCACCCCCCAGAAAAAAAGAAAGAAATATTCTCGCTTTTATCAAGCGTTCCACTTAGACAGTCTGAGCAATTCTGCAACATTTAAAAAGCCTCCGATAAGGTTACCAAACGAAATCTCAATCTCTTGTAGTTTCACTACAATTCAATTGATGCCTGATCATGAATATCTACAGCTTGTCAGTTTTCAAATGTATTCTGTTTCGTCTGTCTACTTAGCACACATAATATGCCTATTCATATGTGTCCTGATTAAAGCAGGATCAAGCATGCAAGGCGATTTGTAAATCTCCCATATTTCGGTGCTTATTGATTGATGCAGCTGTTGTGAGGTTGCCACACACTGCTTCAGTCTGCTCTGCAACGGCCTAAATCAGTGCATATCAGCTCACATTAAAGATGGTTTATCTTCCACAATCAGCCGGCCAAAACAGCTACACAAGCAGCCCCTTTCTTGCTGCCTACAGTTGGGCCTTTCAGAGAGAGAGAGAGAGAGAGAGAGAGAGAGAGAGAGAGAGAGACAGAGAGAGAGAGAGAGTGAGTGAGTGAGTGAGTGAGTGAGTGAGTGAGTGAGTGAGTGAGTGAGTGAGTGAGTGAGTGAGAGTGAGCAAGACAATTTTCAAGTTGTAACCTTGTATGTCAGGTTAATCTTGCCTGGGGCTTTAAGAAAATGTGATTAATATTCTGAACCATTTCAGATAATCCTGTTAATTAAGGGACAATATTGATGCCCATAACTAAAATCCACGCAGTAATGCTGTAAACATTTCAGTGTAGTCAATCAGCTTTCTCAGCCTCATGGGGGCTATAAAGACCAGCTGATTTCTACTGGGAATCAAGGGAATCACATCCGTTATGTAATGCCCTTCAACGTTTGAGACCAGGATCACTTCCAGCTTTCCGCCCACATCAAGCTATTTCAACTGAATACTGTTCAAACCCAAGTAAACTCAACTGATAAAACACGTGAAATTTGGATTTAAAAAACCAAACCAAACATGTTGGCATACCAGCAAGCACTCTGGTTTTCCGACATTATATAACATGTGACCTGATTTAAAGAAAAGAGCTGGCATCTCACAGTGGCCCAGAAAGATATCTTATCGGCACGGCCTTTGTTTCCAATGACAAATATTCTCCGGGTGTTATTGGCATACACACCTGGGACAGTGGTGGGGACTGAGGGAAAGAGGTGGGATAGGGGACTGGGTGTGGGGTTGGGGGCAGTGGTGGGGAGTGAGGGAAAGAGGTGGGATAGGGAACTGGGTGTGGGGTTGGGGGCAGTGGTGGGGACAAAGGGAAAAGGGTTGGCTAGATGACTGAGCTGGGGAGGTAGTGAGATATTAATGTGGGTTAAGGAGCAGCAGCGGTACTTTGACAGAATTTTGAAGGCTTCGAGATAGTGGTGGGGCAAAGGGACAGTGACTGTGGCTCTATGAGACAGGGATGAGGTCTATGACTAGTATGAGACAGGGATAAGGGCCAGGAGACAGGGACGAGGGCCGGGAGACGGGCACAAGGGCCGGGAGACAGGGACGAGGGCCGGGAGACAGGTACGAGAGCCGGGAGACGGGCACAAGGGCCGGGAGACAGGCACAAGGGCCGGGAGACAGGCACAAGGGCCGGGAGACAGGCACAAGGGCCGGGAGACAGGCACAAGGGCCGGGAGACAGGCACAAGGGCGGGGAGACAGGGACGAGGGCCGGGAGACAGGTACGAGAGCCGGGAGACGGGCACAATGGCCGGGAGACGGGCACAATGGGCGGGAGAGGGCACAAGGGCCAGGAGACGGGCACAAGGGCCAGGGAGACAGGGACGAGGGCCGACAGAGATGGGCAAAGGGCCGAGGAGACAGGAGACAGGGACCAGGAGACAGGGATGAGGGCCGGGATACAGGGACGAGGGCCAGGAGACAGGGACCAGGAGACAGGGGCGAGGAACAGGGAGACAGGGATGAGGGCCAGGAGACAGGGACGAGAGCCGGGAGACAGGGACGAGGGCTGACGAGGGCCAGGAGACTGGGACGAGAGCCGGGAGACAGGGACGAGGGCCGGGAGACAGGGACGAGGGCTGACAAGGGCCAGGAGACAGGGACGAGGGCCGGGAGACAGGGATGAGGGCCGGAAGACAGGGACGAGAGCCGGGAGACAGGGATGAGGGCTGGGATACAGGGACGAGGGCCAGGAGACAGGGATGAGGGCCAGGAAACAAGGATGAGGTCTAGGAGACAGGAATGAGGTCTAGGAGACAAGGATGAGGTCTAAGAGACAAGGATGAGGTCTAGGAGACAGGGATGAGGTCTTGGAAACAGGGATGAGGGCTTGGAGGCAGGGATGAGGTCTAGGAGACAAGGATGAGGTCTAGGAGACAAGGATGAGGTCTAGGAGACAGGGATGAGGTCTAGGAGACAAGTATGAGGTCTAGGAGACAGGGATGAGGTCTTGGAAACAGGGATTAGGGCTTGGAGACAGGGATGATGGCAAGGGACGGTGGTGTGGAGTTGGGGACAGTGGTTCGGACAGGAAACTGAGACAAGGACTGGGGACAGCGGTGGTAGGGCTAGGGGATGGTGGAACACTGACTTGGAACTTGGCACAGTCACAGAAAAACAACATCTTCTGCTAATTCGAATTAAATTATGTTGATCAATCTGACGGTTGATGATTACCCTCATTACAACTGACACTATTTCATACATGACGCTAATTACATGTACATGTCTCTTCATGGCATCAGATTCTGGTCATTACAACTGACACTGTTTCACACATGACGCTAATTACATGTACATGTCTCTTCATGGGCATCAGATTCTGGTCATTACAACTGACACTGTTCAAGGTCAAACTTTTACAGCCTCTGAAGCAAGTTTTAATACTGATCCAACAATATATAAAGGTGTCAGGAACTGCAACCACTGACCAATAGTTATTTTTAGATATACATAGTACATGACTTAACAAATGCCTTAACATGGTGGGAAAATAACAGCATTGAGGTGTTATAACAATGTTAAATGAAAGTTTGATAATTTTGTGAATGTGCAGTTAGTAGCCCTTTATTTACATATGCTTCTCACATGGCAATAACTCAATAATCTCAGTTGACATATCTGGCAATATTTGTAACATTGTAACACTGGCACATGCAGTATTGTTTGGGAGGTATTCAATATCATACAACAAAACATGAAGCAACAGCATTTATCATCATAAGATTCTCTCAACAAATGAGTGGAAGTGATTTACTGTTAACAGCCAACAACGTGAGATGTGAGCATCACGCATACTGGCACCAGGTACTGGGTTCGCCTGACAGGGTCGATTCAATAGCCAGTACACACTAATGTATAATACTTTCCATCAACACTCACGTTACTGGAATAATCATTTGTAACCATGGCAACAAAACAGGATCTACATCTTAACTACACATCACAGTAGTTTCTGTTTCAGCACATTATTCCCTGGCTTCAGTCCAGATATAATTGCTATTTCAAGGTTTTCTTGCCCACTGTAATGATTAATGAATTAAAAGGGATAAAATATATTGTCACTGTCAATGTTTATCCTGCCTTAACATACAAAACATTCTGTAGATCAACTTGGTAAACTAACACACAGTAACACAGCTTGTGCTGACCCTGACAAATTACAACATATCCCGAATGGGAGGGAAATATATTAGAATAGTTAGACAATAACTAACCAATGACGGGGAAAGACAGATGATATTTCCCGAGTTATATTAATTACATAATCAACATCACGAGGGAAAGATAATCTGTCATTCCCCGTCACAAGTTGGTTATTGTTTTTATTAACCATATCCGTTTTCAATCTAAAAAACGCTAAAATGAAAACAGCAGTTGATCTGTGAGGAAACCTGTGATGTGGGGAATCCCCTTAGCCCTATGCATGTGTTGCGGACTCATTTCATTGGCTGGAATGAGCCAATAATCGTTCACCGGAGGGCATTACCTCCCTAGGGACTAACAGGGAAAACACTACCCTGTGTCCTCCTTCCCATATGGGTAATAAGTCCCTCTTTCCCCACAATGAAACTTTAATTGACTTGTTGTTTACTGACTGGAACATGTCAGAAATACACACTTTGTTGTAACTGCATTACTTGTCGTACAAGTTGTCTTATGCATCCCAAGTTTGGTTCTATTCTACAAGCTGGACAAAACACTCCACATATGATGGCCCATATATCCATGACATTGCTGCAACTATCAACAGAATATTGTCCTTCAAAACTAGAAAGTTTATCATTTGTAGGTGTGAAATAGAAGCATGAAACTTACCTTCTTAATAACCTTTGTCTGTTTTGTATCAATAAGACCATCCTCTCTGTCTCCTCTGAACAGTGACAAGCGCACATAGGGATCACTGAAACATACAAACATATATCACTGACAAAACCTTCCCTGCTATCCCTTCTAGACTGACTAAGTTTAGTTTTACGCCGCTTTTAGCAATATTCCAGCAATATCACGGCAGGGGGCACTAGAAATGGGCTTCACACATCGTGCCCATGTGGGGAATCAAACCCGGGTTGTCGGCATGACGAGCCAATGCTTTAACCACTAGGCTACCCCACCGCCCCTCTCCCTTCTAGAGGGAGACAAATGTATGTACTGATCGCTGAAACATACAAACATGGTCACAGACCTTGAAACAAATACATCACATCTTTTGTAACTCTATAATAGTTAGTGAGTCTAGATTACTGCAGTTACAGGGTGAGTCGCTGGGATCGTTTATAGGCTGTTTCATTACAATATCCTCAACAATTACATTTTTGTAAAATGTTCTCATTCAGAGACTAGATGTTAATCTATAGGATCCTGGAAGCTATGAGAAGGCAGGTGCTATCATACACTTGAGGTTTGTGTAACGTTATGTGTCCCATGTATCTGGATATACATGTTACTCTTGCATTGCCTGTTTCTCTCCAATTCCGACACATGACCTAATACAATGATACCTGTTCGAACTGGACATGTTCTTTAATACTAACACATGACTCAATGCAATTATACTTGTTTGATTTTGACATGATACCTGTTTGATCTCGACATGTTCATAAAAACTAAAACATGACTCAATGCAATGATGCTTGTTCGATCTTGACATGTTCGTAAAAATTAAAACATGACTCAATGCAATTATACCTGTTTGAACTGGACATGTTCTTTAATACTAACACATGACTTATCATACCTCTTCGATCTGGACATGTTCGTAAAAGCTAAGACATGACCATGGGGTGCTGAATGGAGGAGAGAGAGACTTGTTTGTTTGTTTTGGGTGCAGTATGTTATGTTAGGTACTTCTACAGCAATGACATGAGATTTTCTTTCGTAACCCTGCTTCAACTTAAATCTAACGTGCATCCATGCAAGGAAGCAGCTTTTCTGGAGCCCTGACGCAGCATTCAATTGTCTCCATGAACAACCGATGATGACACCTCCTATTATCTATGACCCTGGTTTGTTATAGTGAGATATCACATTTTGGATTGTTTCACAAAAGTAAAAACAATGTAACAATTGTCAGGAACTAGCCAATCAGCATGAAACAACAACTGGGACAATGCTCACTAAGCAGTGACACTATGTTCACGGACATTTATTCCCTCTTTGGTAATGCTTGGTACATGATATTATGCTTCTAAAACATGGAGGACACCAGATGCAAAGGACAGACAGTGGGAATAACATTCCTGCCAATCAGCTACAGAGGGTCCAAGCTTTTCAACATGCCAGCCTCTGAGAATTATACTTACTTTTCAGCTGCAAAATTGACAGAAACACACCCTGACCAACAACTTTCATTTGTTTGTTATTGATGATAGGTGCAACGACAAAATTGTTTCTGCAGATGCTCCTGGTGTATGTTGTACTTGCTACCCTGTCCCCCGGTTTACTCATTCCCATGTCCCCCTGCTTTACTCCTCATTCCCATGTCCCCCGCTTTACTCCTCATTCCCATGTCCCGTGCTTTACTCCTCATTCCCATGTCCCCCGCTTTACTCATTCCCATGTTCCCCTGCTTTACTCCTCATTCTAATGTCCCCCGCTTTACTCCTCATTCCCATGTCCCCCGCTTTACTTCTCATTCCCATGTCCCACGCTTTACTCCTCATTCCCATGTCCCCCGCTTTGCTCCTCATTCCCATGTCCCCCTACTTTACTCCTCATTCCCATGTTCCCCTGCTTTACTCCTCATTCCCATGTCCCCTTACTTTACTCCTCATTCCCATGTCCTCTGCCTTATTTCTCATTCCCATGTCCCCCTGCCTTACTCCTCATTCCCATGTCTCCTGCCTTACTCCTCATTCCCATGTCCCCCTGCTTTATTCCTCATTCCCATGTCCCCCTACTTTACTCCTCATTCCCATGTCCCCCTGCCTTACTCCTCATTCCCATGTCTCCTACCTTACTCCTCATTCCCATGTTCCCCTGCTTTACTCCTCATTCCCATGTCCCGCTACTGTAGTCCTCATTCCCATGTCTCCTGCCTTACTCCTCATTCCCATGTCCCCACTTTGCTCCTCATTCCCATGTCCCCTGCTTTACTTCTCATTCCCATGTCCCCCTGCTTTACTCCTCATTCCCATGTCTCCTGCCCTCATTCCCATGTCCCCCACTTTGCTCCTCATTCCCATGTCCCCCTGCTTTACTCCTCATTCCCATGTCCCCACTTTACTCCTCATTCCCATGTCCCCACTTTGCTCCTCATTCCCATGTCCCCCTACTTTACTCCTCATTCCCATGCCCCCCTGCTTTACTCCTCATTCCCATGTCTCCTGCCTTACTCCTCATTCCAATATCTCCTGCCTTACTCCTCATTCCCATGCCCCCCTGCTTTACTCCTCATTCCCATGTCTCCTGCCTTACTCCTCATTCCCATATCTCCTGCCTTACTCCTCATTCCCATGTCCCCCTGCTTTACTCCTCATTCCCATGTCTCCTGCCTTACTCCTCATTCCCATGTCCCCCTGCTATACTCCTCATTCCCATGCTCCCATGCTTTACTCCTCATTCCCATGTCCCCCTACTTTATTCCTCATTCCCACGTCCCCCTGCTTTACTCCTCATTCCCATGTCCCCCTGCTTTACTCCTCATTCCCATGTCCCCTGCCTTACTCCTCATTCCCATGTCCCCTGCTTTACTCCTCATTCCCATGCCAGCATATGCTGGCCTTCTGTGACCTATGCAAGATGCGGATGTCTGCAGGTAGATCCGGTATCTAACTTTGACTGGCTGACTATTCCAGGAATGTTTTGTTTTTATCATGTTTATCAGGGAACTTATTCAGGAACATTGAGGGTGTATAGAGAAAAAGCTATATGCCAGTGCACACCGCCCAACAAGGATTGACAATGAACATCAACAAGTGTGACCTGTCGATGTGCCAGCATACACAAGACTGTAAGTCAGCTCTTCCACCCACAGACACACAGGGGTGAAAGATGCACAATAATTTGTAATATTACTAATGAAACTGTAGAGGAAATGGCACAATTGTAATGAGTAAAGATATTTAATTAGCCACTGAAAAAATATCCAGAGGCCCCTCAATAATGTATTCATGTTAGCAAGGTGTACAATGTGTAAATACTCTCCATTCTGTATGTATTACATACAAAAAACAACTTGTCTTTCATGAAAACCTGTTTGATGTATCTGCAAGCAAGGTGCCCCAATATGTTTAAAAACAAACACATGATTTAAATTTAGCATTATCATCTGAAATCATTAATTGAAAGTAGTTACATATGGTTCAGCACAATCAGGAAAACATGGCATCATGGAGCAAATATATAAAAAAAACGGTTTTCATTTTGTATATGTATATTTTTGAATAACGTAAATTCATTTGTGACTGTATGTTGGTGTAACATGTGTGTATGACATTGCTGTGGGAATGAACCACAGACCTTCAACTTTTCAGGCAGACAGTCTATCCATGATACCATGAAGGCACCCCCAGTAAATGAGCGCGAGTTTTGTTTTACGCCGCTTTTAGCAATATTCCAGCAACATCACGGCAGGGGACACCAGAAATGGGCTTCACACATTGTGCCAATGTGGGGAATCGAACCCGGGTCTTCGGCGTGACGAGCCAACGCTTTACCCACTAGGCTACCCCAACCGCCCCCCCAGTAAATGAAGACAGACAGGCTTACTGATTGTCATATACTAATACCGGTACCTGTACATAATACAATACTCAAAATACTCACTAAAGTGTTTTGTCTGTTGACAATATGGAAGTCTCTTAGTTATTGGAAAGGAACCAAATTGCAATAAGGTAGGGATATCTAACACTGTTCACTAAGCTGAAAGTTGAAAATACAATCGTCACGGGGTTCTGGGAAAAAGTGTGACTTCTACAAAGTTTGAGAATCCAACAAAAAGAATTCTAAAAGCCAGTCCTCATGTTTTGAGAGATTTTTGCCTGGTCTGGGGACAAGACTAGACTTAAAGGTATACATAGAATCCAGCTCCCAGGCTGTTGGAAGTGACACACTGCTGGAAGTAGTATCTTACTTTCCCTAACAACAGATTGACTGAGATGTCATTTCTCAGTTTTCAAAAGTCACTGGCTGCCATGTGAGAACATTAAAGTAACCTATGTGTATCAGTAACTAATCGGTTGTATGATGTGCTGGTTCATTAGACTGAACAGTAGCATGTTAGAAACCATTGTGCCTTTGATATGTCAAAGTGACACAGACAACTTTGCGTGAAGTGAGATGAATGTTAAACATTTGGTAACATCACTAACAATGGATGTGTTGATGTCACATGTGTTCAATTGTCTGAATCTTCAGAGGATTTGTATGGTTAATCTGGATATTTAAGACGAACAAATAAGCAGGGATTTACAGGACGCGATTTCCTGCATCCTATACTCTTAAAAATTGACAATGGACGCAGGGGTGGAAATAACCCATTGCCCGACGTCCGAGTCCAGTGTTGTTTTCTGTCGGGCAAGCTAATTTGTATATCACGTTGTACTGGTGTCCAGTTGACTTTCCAATGTTAATTTTGTTGTTTATTTAAAAGATCAACAAGAAAATCAGCCGGTATAGTGGAAACATTATCAGGGCAAGTGATTTTACATGTACCACTGTACCGGAGTACACTAGCAATTTTAAAGTTATTTCCACCCCTGGGATGCAACAAAAGTTATTAGCGCATCTACGCGGATGCAGAAAACTGACTGACTGAGTTTGGTTTTACGCCGCTTTTAGCAATATTCCAGCGACATCACGGCGGGGGACACCAGAAGTGGGCTTCACACATTGTACCCATATGGGGATTCGAACCCGGGTCTTCGGCGTGACGAGCCAACGCTTTAACCACTAGGCTACCCC